TTGTATTATGTGAAATTGTACAAGGGCGCGTTTTTTGTAGTTTCTCGTATTCAAACAAAAAACGATTATGCAATTGATGAAATACCTAGTGTTATTATGGAAGTAAAATAAAGGTACAAAAACGCCACACATCGTGAAAGATGGAGAGGGCACACAAGTGCTGCATCAAGTGAAATGATCAGACCCATTTTTTATGAGATGTTCAGGGCAAAAATGAATGCAAGTCATTGTCCTCTACGTTCCACCCACTAGTTGGGAATAACGATTTATTATTATTGTTTTGCCATCTGAAACGACACACAGTAAAGCTGATGTGGATTTATCTGACTTATTTAAACATGTTTCAGACTGTTTATCCGAAATTCCTGGAATGTTACCGTTTGTCGGTCTTAAATTTTCAGATCCTGTTTTTATTCTCTTCTTTTCGGTGAATGGAAGGTGGGAACAAAGTGCTCTTACGCCAGGCAGTCGCAATACCACAAACCTATGCCTTGTCATTGACAGGCCTGTTGCCGGTAACCTACGTAAGCTTACGTCGTAATGTGGTCTATCACCTTCCTTCAAAGCCTATACATGTTACCAGACAGTTCTTAGACTTACTGCAGAGGCATTCGCAGGTTATCCGTGATTGGCCATGCAAACAACATAAAGCACAAAAATTGAAGTGATACCGGGCTGCTTAAAATTAAGCAGGATCATCAGTTGTGTCTGGGGAATTAACGTTTTGGTCAGACGGTGTACACTGAGCTGTTTCAAACTAAAGTGCTAACAGGTTCAATTTGCTCACTTTTAAAGGCCAGAAATCGTTGGTTCACATTCTTGTACTATGTTGGGTAGGGTTTTTTTGACTTCCGATGATTTTTTACAGAGACTCAATTGTCAATTTACCTGGGCTTACCGATTTAGGGAGGCATTCTCGTTGTTCTTAGTCACTTGGTTGTTTTGTCCCAAACTTTGTGTGCTGAAATACACGTCCAAAAGGAATTGAGCAAATTTCACTGACGCCGAATCAGACTAAATGCTGACCGATCGAGCTTTGAACTGAAATAAGATATTGCAGTGCACACTGAAACATTCTTTCAACAGTTAGTCATAGTTAGGGTCACTTCGACTCGGCCCCCGGACTGATGTGCTACGATGGACCTGGTGAACGATTTATTTGGCAAAAGAAAACATCCTGGTGGTAGATTTGATCACCAACAAAGGTTACAGGTCCCACTGCCGCACCATGCTGCTTTGCAAGAGAATCCGAAATTTCAACTTTTGTGACCTTTATGCTGTTTAATATCCACTTTATTGGACAAAGGGGAGAAAGTTGTCAGAAACCAGCACACAGCTAATAGTAAATAGGGCTTATAATACTGATGTACTAGATGACGAGATAAATGTTTTTGAGCCGTGTTGCGTTCGCTAAGCCGGTTGTATTGAATACAAACGTTCACTGGATGGTCATCGATGCGTCGCTGCGCAATTAAGTAGTAAGGTGCACCAACAAATGTGTGATGGTTGTTGGAATGAATTCGTTCACGCACATGCGGCTGGCTTCAAAATCTATGTCAAGAACGTCCAACCAGGGGGTGTCTTCAGCGCAAAAATTTATGAGCATACTATATTTGACTGATAAAATAGTTCAATGCGTTAGGAATATTATCTGCCGTGCATGAAGTCTCTAAACGGGTTGGTGATAAGCGTCAGTGTTTGACGTGGTATCAAAAATGAATCTAAAGCAAACCGGAAGGGGATAGATAAATTGCAGCAAGAGGATCTATTTGGTGAGTGACAGTTTGTACTAAGAAAGAGTTCACAAGTTAGACATGGTTGCAGTGAATGGCCGGTAAAGAGAGTGAAGGATTTCAGAATTAATCAGTATTAAAATTTTATTGCATTTGGAACGAGGCTAAAGTTGCTCCAAGGTTTTACTGAAATCGGTCACCAAATTTGTTAGTAAAACGCTCCATTTACTGTCCTCTGTCTACGCCTCTAGAAAAATCTGCGTGGTTACTCAGCGGTAGAAGTACAGCAGTGGATTTTCCATGCACCAGTGAAGTGTCAAAGTGAACAAAGAATGTAGCAAAGATGTTCATATGAAGGTTGGTATTGGAACTGATCTAATATGGTGCTTTCCAGGTGAACTCTTTCGAGCGGCTCAGGCGAAACTTGTCCAAAATTATGTTGTTATTTTTCTCGGTACTATTGGCTACTCACTTTGGGAGCCAGAATTTACTTCGGGGGTGTAGCATCAACAAAACCGCAATGATCAAAACAATAATCATTCATTTTTCTTAGGATGTCAAGCTCGCTGCTCGGGTTATATTGATTTCCTAGCTGGTTGAAACTTCCTGATTTCTCTTGAGCAGGTTGCCACAGACCTCATGATGAAGCGCTCTCATGCACGGCGCGTTTCGTCCTGGTTCGGACTCATCAGATAGGTCTACCAGGACCACGGCGCCACTTCGGTTAGCAGTTTTCACTATGGTGAAATCTGCCAACCAAATGTGCACACGACCGATGCTGCTACATCGAACTGACGGGTCCAAAGCAGGAAGAAACGCGTAGTATGTTGTCTCTGGGGTCCAATCATATCCTACCTTTCAGTTAGCATCACCAAATTGGCGATAATCATCGGATCCTCCACAAGTGTTTTTACACAAGTTATTCCGCGTTTAGAATGCCGAACGGGAAACCTAATCACCACATGCAGTTGGATGGACTACAGTTGTACCGAAGTGACACCAACAACTGTAGTCCGTTATGTGTTTCAGTTTTGCTTCTTTTGGGAAAAAGGAGAGGTCTCTTAGATTAGTCCTGCGATTGATCTTCCCGGGTTATTGGGACTGCCCGTGTAGATTTCGATCAGTTGTCCATTGCACCAAGTGCCCATTCGAATATAAGTTCGCCACATCGCTTGAGTAATCAGGAGTTGGAATGAGTCCAAAAAATTGGGAACAACCTCTCCGTTACGACTCCGTTAGTGTTTTTAACCATCCTCCACAGCTCCACGATTCAACCATGTCATCCACTTCTTTAAATGAGCATAGCAAGTCGATCAGCTATGGACGATTCCGTTTTTCCGAATACTGCCCCCGCATATTTTAGAAATGAAACTATCTGGATTTCTTTCGTTCATTCTATAAACTACCCGCTTCCGGACTATTGAATTTCCTCCGGTGTATTAGAAAAACAAATTATCGCGAATAATCGTTGCCCGATAAGACGCGACTGAAAACGATCATTCGCAAAGCTGTGTATTAGGTTTGGGCACATAACTGTCGTAAATGTTCGGCGCACTGCTCTAGGGTCTGGACATTTTAAACCTTCAATAAAATAAATCGAACACCAAGGGACTGTGGAATAAGCAATGTATAGTTTCCTAAATGAATGATTCACAAAACAAAACAACCTTTCGGAAAAGTCCCGTCACTGACCTGGATTTAGAGACGCCAAACAGCTGATATCACAAACACTACTGCACTATGACAACACAGCAAGCGATAGTACTTGGCAGATAGTTTAAGTTAGCAGACAGGGCGCTATTCTTTGGGACCTAAGACAGCTTAAGTACAGACGGAAGTCAACGAAGCTGGAGCACAAGATGAGGTAACCAGGCATCCCATTCGTAATCATAGCTGTTGTTTTCATTACTATATTGCAATGGAACGTCGCCGTGAAATATCTCACCTCGTACTTCCTGTCCATCTTTAGCTACTTGACACAGAGACTATTCGTTCGGGATTCTAACGACCCTTACGTGGACCCATCAAAATGCAATACAATGCACCGGATACACATCAGTATCGATTACTTGAACCATGCCAACAAGCCGTGGCCAAACAGTCCTGATATTGTTCCCTCAAGAAGAGGGAATACTGTGTAACCCGTAACTCCCATGAAGTGCGGAGAAACAGGTGTGGCAAAACCAGTGAGAACAAAGAATGAGACCTGGAAACAAGGAGCGTTTGACAATCCAATCCAAGGAAGCTAAACCACAATACCAATTAAGGCGACTTTGAGGAAGGAACCACCCGCCCAATCACGCAACGGTGACGGTTCCTCGGCTGATGACTGTAACACTGTAATCCAGCGAGAAGGGAGACAACCTTCACCACATAAATATTTGACGTTCACACAGTGCGTAAAGGAGGAACTTGTCACTTTACCTACAGAAGTCCCGCTGAAGAGAAACCTCACGGTTAGGGACATTTTGCTTTATCTCGTTGACGTTCCCGTAGCAACTTACTAGAATGTACTGAAATGAATGGCATTCGTATTCTAAACCTCGATCAAAAAGAAATGGCTCATACGGAAAAGCATTTCCCTTGACCCGGAATGCACAGTTAATGCATACATGGCGATAAAAACAGTTTTTCCGCATTCGATCAGCCTACATTGACGTTTACCGTGATGCTCTTGAAAACACAGTCGTCATTAGCCCTCTGGCGTGGCAGCCCCCAGTTACGGCCAGAGGTTAGCTAAATTTGAGAACGACCTGAGCGATGTCAAGGAATAGTGGTAGCTCGGAATGAAGCTGCAAGTTGCCGATCGATTCACAAATTCGATAAGAGGAAACAACTTGAGGGCGGTATGTGTCAAATGCAGCTGACCCACGTTCCGAAAACCGTAAATAACGTTACCATCCGTGGGAAGTCAGGAAAAGCATTGCGTTGCCGTGTATCTTTCATATGTTCAGATGTCGAAATCACAAAAATAGACCAGTGAAACAGGAGCAAATAATGTGCTGCGATCGACACGAAAAGGACAAAGGCCAAATTCATAGTGATGATGCCTTGGATTGGTGGGGCGAACAGTGATCTTCGCTGAGAGTCGGTTGTTCACCATGATGTCTGGTCTCTGCACGTACGAAGTACCAAACAGAGAAAAACAGGGCAGCTACAGGATAGTATTAGGCATGGGGATCAAGCTTAGGGTGATACAGCCACACGGGCCACTAAGGAAGGCCCCGGCTCGAAAGACAAAAAGGCAATTCGCACTGAGATAAAAGAGGGCGGACGACGAAAGGATTCACAATAACAGGATGTTTCTTGTACTGAGCAATACAGAACCAGAGACATAAATGGGATAAATGAAAGACAAATGCGATATGGAACTGAAAGCATGTAAGGAGTCGCCACGATATCAACGACCCCAAAATATTATCCGATCAGGTGGAATCAAATCGTTGCAGAGTGGGTGGAGTTGGACTACCCGAGGCTGTTTTAATCGACGTTGGAACGCTGGACACCGGCGTCGGGGAGTTTGGAATGGAGTAGGATGACGTAGAGGGTGTGTTTACAGGGTAGCGAATGATCGCTGGATCACCAGAAACATCAGTCACGCTGGAAAAGGATTTATTCTGAGATTCATCACGTGTCGTGGAAGCCTGGCGAGAAAAAACAAGATTTCTGTGAGTCTCAAATGAGGTGGATTCAACGTCCGAAATTCAATGCTGAAAATTATGAGTTCAGTCAAATAGTCGAGTTGTGACTCTTATGCGATGAAATCGATGTCGGGGTGTTAATACTACCACCCCGTTAGTAACAACTATATTCAGTAAACCTGAGACAAAAATAGGAACCGCCAACCAAAACAAATTGTTGAAATGTTAACTCAGTCCTATGTCACTGTCAACGAGATACTATGTGGCTGAACCAATAATAGACAAAAAGCTACAGTGCTTACACGAAGAGACTGGACCTTACCGTGGTGTGACGGTTTGCGCACCTCAGCGATCCATTGAACTATACTGGAGAGTGTCCCGCGACACTCAAAGAGTCACACCAGGTTGGTCAATGGTTAGAGGTCTGACGAACACAGTCTCCTCGCCCTCCAGGTTGGGGGTTGGAACATGTGGCGACTTGTTCCGTAGAAATGGTAATGCATTTGCATTTCCCGCCAAACACCGCTGCCTTGCGGTTAGGCTTTTGAGCCAAAGGCTTTGACTGAGGACCCTAATCGTCCTCCTGTCTAGGTGTGGGCGCCCTGGCAGTATCCCAGCCCTCGCACAACCATGACCTACACAACTAACAATATTCTCATGCCACATCGGCCGTCGCGTGGTACCATCAGCCGGGTCGCCTTACTTGCTGCATACAGCAGGGCGGGTAAGCGAAAACAGGCTACTGCTGACGCCTCCCTTCGTTCTCCTTCACATACTTTTTCTTCCCCCTCTCCCCACCCCATTAATAACTCTCTCCTTGTAGGCCCAGCACCTAGGACTGATGACTCCGTTCGTCATACATCGGTTTTGCGTGCAGCATCTGCTCATCACATGGTGCCGACATCTCCAGGCATCTCCAAATCAGTCCTCAAGCCTCGACACCCAGTCTATCTGGCCGCGTTCAATGTCCGCACTCTGAAGCAAGCAGGACAACAAGCTGCTCTTGCACTCACACTGGACTCGCTTGGCATTGATGTGTGCTGTGTCTCAGAAACGAGAATTCAAGATGCAAGCACAGTGATTGAGTTAACCGCCCC